TGAACAGAACTTTATTTTAGCCATTGTGGTTTTGCAGCAGCAGCATCATTTTATTCACAGCCATTGATTTCCAGGCTAGATTCTGTGTTCAAGTGCAGCATTCAGGAGCATCAGTAAGTGATGGTAACCCTAGAGTAAGTTCGAGACAGACCAGTAATCCAGCAAGAAGGACCTCCTCTAATTAAAACTTTGTAACTTCATCTGCTCTCAGGGCATATTAATGAGAGAGGGAGCTTTGGGGAAGGAGGTGATATAGAAATTAAATCAAAGCAAATCAAAGCAAATGTATAATAATACAGTGAACAACAGCTACAGACTGCATATTTTCTTTTCTCTACCTCCACCACTCCCAGTATTTTTTAATTTACTGGAGCAGGCTAACAAACTCCATTTTGCTTTGAAAAACAAACCATTTTGTTGACATGGGAGGGGTTTTTATGCTCGACTGCTGCAATTAAAATAGGAATTAAAATACTACAAAAACATTTTATATATTTTTAGTACTAAGCCTATATGATTCTTCATAATGCAATATGCTTGCCTATAGATGGAAAGATAAAATAGATAAAGGGCAACCTAAACAGCAGGCCACAGATAACAACCCTGTTACTCGAGCCTGTCGACAGGCGTGACCTAAACAGATACAACTTAAAACCTAAACAAATCATAAGCAGAGTTTAAAAAGTATCCGTTGCTCTTAGCCAATCAGAAGCACCCCTGAATCTTCTATAAGAGCTCAGTGAAGCTGTGAACTCAGAATATAGACCGCCTAACTAAAGAAATGGAGCAACTTTTTACTTTTCTCTTGCTTCTTTTCAAACTCTGTGAGTATTAATCAAATATTTATTTGTGCTTCTTTATGTGCTGCGATTATTCTGAATGGAAATAAAGTACATTTACAAAAGAAAATAAAAAACCTTTCATGATTTCTTCACAGGCGAGCCGTTTAATTCCATCAAAACCTATGATATCATTCAGGAGACTGGAATAAGGGCAGCTAATGCTGGAGAGACTGTGACTTTACCCTGCTCCTGTCAGCATAATGCTATAACATATTTTTTTTGGTACCAGCAAAAACTGGGACATAAACCTCATCTGATATCTAACCGGATGAAGCACAGCAAAGAATCCATCATCTCCCCAGCATATAAAGATAGATTTCAAGTTCTTTCAGAGCCCGAAGAAGGACTCAACAGTCTGATGATCATAGATCTTCAGCCGTCGGATTCAGGGACGTATTACTGTGTGATTTTAGCATTCAACGCCATTGAATTTGGACAAGGACTCTTTCTCCATGTCAAAGCAGCTTCATCAAACTCCCAGTTGCTTATTCAACAGTCTACGTTGACTCCTCTACAAATCGGAGATTCACTAAATCTGAGCTGTAGCGTGTCTGTTGAGCCATGCAAAGGAGAACAGAGCCTCTACTGGTTGAGACATACTGCCTCCCAACCCTCACTCATGTGTCCCAGTGCAAAAAGCTGTATAGGTCTTAAAAACGGACCCCTTCATGGTGTTAATTGCACTTCCAACCTTGAGTTAAATTCGGTGACGTCCTTGGATGCTGGGACCTACTACTGTGCTCTGGCCTCATGTGGGATGGTTGTATTTGGAGAAGGAACAAATGTGGAGATTTTTTTAGGTATGTAATAATTGCAGGTGTCCAACCAGTTCAACACAATTAAAATGAATATTTCTTAGTCTAGGTTAATATAACATAACTATATATGTGAAGTTTTATTTTGCCCTCTTAATATGTTGACCTTTACCACAGCGCCTTCTTTCCTGGTGTATGTCCTGGGTGTGGCTGTTGTCATTTCCATCATTGGGCTCCTTTTTTTGTCTTTCCTGAGGAACAAACTTAAATCCAAGCTATGCATGTCATGCGCAGGTAAGGTTTAGAGAATTAATCTGCATAATTAATCTCGATTCTACACTGTACATGCTGAACTGTTTATTTACACATTGTGGGTTTTAGGGACGGATAAACCACAGTCCTCTGAAGCCCTTGAGATTACTGTAAGTAAAGCAACACCTTTATCAAAAAGAAATATGCAATGCTCTCTTCCAGTGGGTTTACCAGTAAATTATACTTTTTTTGTGAATATCAGGAAAATCAGACAGAAAATCTGCATTATGCTGCTCTGAATATAAAGAGGAAACCTGAAGGACAGCAGCAAGAGGACAACCATTTCAGCGCTTGTGTGTATTCAACAGTGAAGAGCAGAAAAGAATAAAGCACCTCCTTCACTGCTGACCCTAAAGGAAGAAACACAGCCATCCAAATCAATAAAATCAAAATGTAAAGAATGGAATTACATTATTTTTGTGTGCAGCTTTTTGTATTGGATTCGTTCTTAAAATACCCAATGGCTACTAAACTCATATGTAAATACTAAAGGCTAAAAAAAAATCCCCCGTCTATTAATATCTCTAACAGCACCAGGTGTGAAATACTGTCAGTTGTGACGTCAATGTTTTTGCCTCCTCTTCTGTGGTGATGGTGGCCTAAATTGCACTGTAGAAGTTTCCACCAATGGAAACAAAAGGTTCTTCAGAGTTAAAACACAGGAAGGTTGGCCCACACTTTGTTATAGCAGCTGCTAGCTTAGTAATTCAGCCTGCTGGTCCTCCACAGGACTGTACAACCCAAGAAATATCACAAGAATGTAAATTGACAATCATTATACCAACAATAGGTAAAGGTAAACAAATGTCTTGGACCTTTAAAATAATTATCTTGCTAAATTAAAAGAGTAAAGCACAAAAAGATTACTGAGAGTGAGGTGTACTCCTACTGAAAACTTTATAAGCAAATAAAGTGTTCCAAACATGAATCAAATGTGTCTAAACAATAAATGACACCCCAATGTATCAATTACTTGTTCTCACAGCTGTAAATACAACACACACACACACACATACACCTGATTACTGCAACAATCTCTGCATAGGTTTGCCTAAAAAGTCCATCAGGAAGCTGCAGTTGATCCAAAACCCCACTGCCTGTGTTGTCACTAGAACTAAGAAAATAGAGCGCATCAGCCCAGTTCTCCAGTCCTTAAACTGGCTCCCTGCAGCTCAGAGAATAGACTTTAAAAAATCTTTTTGGTCTTTAAATCCTCAAATGGATCAGCACTTTGGTCTTCCAGTTCAAGCCTACTCTGTTCACCCTTGAACTACAACTTGAACTAGAACCAAACATGGAGAAGCAGAATTTAAAACCTATGCTCTACTTATCTATCCTATATAATTCATGAAAGGCACTTGGTGCTATATAAATAAACTTGCCCTGCCCTGCCTTGAAGTCTGATTTATGACAGACCAAAGTTACAGATTGCTATGAAATCCTAGTTTCAGCAGCAAATAACACTGACTTAACATAAATTCATCCACTCCTGCTCCGCTTGTGCAGAGTCTAGATGGCCTCTAGTAAAGGGCCTCTACTCCGTACTCCTTAACCCCTAGAACCCTACGGACCCACCGGTGGGTCC